CCTGTCGGGCTGCACAAGCTAAATAGAGGGCTGCTGGAACCAATTGTGGGACCCGGGAAAGGAAAAAGTTGCTTTAGAGACTAGGTATCCATGAGCTCTCGCCAGCAGAACTGGCCTCCGTAGACTGCGGCTTTGGCATCGTTGTTCTTAAACTCCCTGCAAGAGACACCACCGGAGCACATGATGTGCGGCGTCAGCTTCATGTTCACGGACTGGTTGTACAGCAGCTTTCGCATAGTGGTGCCTCCGGCGCGGTGTTGGTGCATGAAGACCAAGGGGGCATGTTCCGACACATCCTCGTTCTTGGGTGGGACCTTCTTGTTCAAGAACCTGTCAATCATCACCTGCACGAAGTCAGAGTCGGTTGTGTTGGCCTTTGCCGCCTTCGCATGGTTGGACTTGCCCGCCCACTTGCCTGCTTTCTTTCCTGGCACATCTTCCGACTCTACTCAAAGCTATACTCAACAACTGTTTGATAATGAGCCTTGTTTTCAATCACCGGGCCAACTGGGGCCTAAATAATTACCTATAATATTTTGGTGGTTCCTAGCACATATTCCAACCATTTCTGATTAGGATGCAGCCTCCAACAGACTTGCCAGCCGACGCCTTGCCATGGGTGGCTTCCTTCTTGTGGGCCTGCGCCCAGTTTCCATGGCCCTTGGCGGCTGGATGCTTCTTGGCTCCACTTGCACCGGTAGCTTCGGAGTAGATGCCGGCATCGGATGCCTGCGGCTTGTCGGAAGACCCGCGAGTACCTAAAGCTTGAAGCATCCTTGAGCCTTTTTCTGCATCTGTACTTATGCAATCGCTAGATCTCGAGACTGTCAGACTGTCAACCCAGGCGGCATGTGAATCCTTCTGCCTAAAGAGTCAAGCCTGAACTCTTTAATCCGTCAGCCGTATCTGAAAACTTGCAACCTTCCCATTGCTCCGTCCTCCTCCACCGCAGGCTTCTCGATTTCTGCCTCGTCTGCAGGTTCGGCGACGGTGGCAGCGGTTTCCTCTACGTCGGGAATCTCGGCGACGGGCTCCTCAGCTCAAGAGTTCGGAAACTGAGCCAATTTGGCATTAAGGACACTGAGGGTAACATGGGAATATTCAGCACAGGCTCGTCGGCAGTAGGTTCCTCCGCGGCTGATTCCTCTGCTGCGGGTTCCTCTCCCGCGGGTTCCTCTGCGACAATTTCCTCAGCCATGGGTTCCTCTGCTGTCGGTTCTTCCGCTGTCGCCTCGCTAGCAGTTGCCTTTGGAGTCTCTGCCACCTTTGCTGGCGTGTCATCGTCACCGAAGTCACCGCCGGACTTCCGTCGGATTCCCACTTGCATGGCGCAGTTGCCCTCATGCTCTGGCTCGGCGACGGACCACTGAAGGCAAGCAGCTGCCAAGAGTGCAGCCAAGACTTTGGTGGAATGCACAGCCATCTTGGAGCTGTGGCTCAAGGCTCAATGCGCGCTTGTAGGTTCGGTTCGCTTCGCCCTCGGGCCGAAAACTTCCCAATTTCAGTTCTTATGCCCCCGTCTGTCCTTTGTAAACGATACACAGACAGCAAGCAAATAACATCAACGTCACGCATCCCAATACCCTTCTACTATAAGCTCAAATTTAACCCACCCTGCAATCCGAGCCGTTTAGGGCCTGGCAGTAACCCTAACCCTCTGAAATATTACCCGAAACAAGAAAGCCTAGTCCCTGAAAGTACCAAAATAGTATGCGTTTAGGGCATTATAGTAGAAATATGACCCTAAACAAAAAGCCCTAAACCCGGAGAGCGCCAAAACGGTATGCGCTTAGGGCATTATAGTAGAAATGTATAATAGGATTCTAAATATGAACCCCAAAAAGGAACTACTATCGGGTCTATGGATAGTATGCGCTCAGGGCCTGACCCGGCCGGTGTCACAAAAGCTGCAGTCCAGTGCACAGCCAGCTTGCGACGAAACCTCGGCTCTTCCAATCGAGGCAGTGCAGCCCTTAATCATTAGAATAGGATTCCTTTAAAGGGGGGCTACGAAAGGTTGCTATAAGGGATCTATAAGGGTGCTATACTATAGGGGCCATAAGAATTGGAATAGGGTTTGGGGGGATATTATATTATACTTCGAACAAGGAACTCCGCAAACAGTATTGGTAATTTAGGCCACGATAGTGACTGGATGCATGGGCATTGCAAAATGACGTGCGGCTCAGTGCCGGACGCAAACACTCACACCCTTCTGCTTTGTCCGGTTCGAGTCCTTGGTGAAAGCTCAAAGGCCTTTGCAAAATCCCATGATCCTCTGCAGACGTGAGCAGTGCGCTGCAGCCAGCATTGAATGTGAGCGACATTGTGGTGTGTCTTTTCCTGAGTTGACCAGAATGCCTGAAGCGCATTTACAGCTCAGATTGCAACCCAGCGTGCAGCAACAGGTCTTCCACGGCTAACATCCAAAAGCGCTAGTAGCAGTGACGCCATTTTCTCGCGCTGCTCAAACGACCCCATCTTGTTGCCAGCGCTCATTGCAGGCCGGGCATTCTGCAAGGATGCACTTGCCTGTCAAAGATTCGACACTGGTGCTGGGCAACTTTCAAGCGTGAGGGCTCGCTCTCTCTCTCTCTCTCTCTGCTTTGCTCTGGGGCAAGGAGAAAAGGGCAGTCTCTCTCTCTCTCTCTCTCTCTCTCTCTCTCTCTCTCTCTCTACCTTGCCAACCTCAAGCATGACTTTGACAAACAAGCACACTATTGCTATCAGATTAACCATTGTTGCTCCAGCTGTCTTTCCTACTGGCCGGTGCTACTGTTGCTCGAAATAGTAATGTAATACTGATCTGATGCTTCAGGTGTGCTTACCAGTATTGCACCTATAGTCTTATCTCGTAGTCTTGCGCACATATTGTCAAAACAAGGGTGAATAGGCCCGCCGGAGGGCTGAGCAACTCTTGAGGCGAAAGAGCCTGGAAAGTCGCGGATACAAACCTAATTAAGTTTCCATGCGCCGAAAGCGCGCGGTCCGGAAACCCAGCCCTAAACCGAAACATGAAACCTTATAGACTCCTAAACCTGAAACCAAAGTCTGTGAATTGCTAGTTTTCGGGGTATTAGACTCGACAACTGCTGGAGCTTGCAGGCCGGGAGTGGGCTGATCTCGGCTTCGGGCTTCACAGGGTTTAAAATAAAAGCCAGAAAGTTGGAATATGACTATCCTAAACCCTTTATGGTAAAATATAAGGTATCCTACCCTGAAACCATATTCCAACTTTCTGGAGTTCCCTTTAGGGTTTGGGGTTTAGGGTTGTGATCTTGAAATCTCGTCACAACGCCGGCCTGGCCTGTGTCTCTGCGCATGTGTCCCATATTGCCTGCAAGTTGAGCTGTACTTATATTGTTCATCATAACTATTGCCATGATAGTAACAATACTAATGAAATCCATAACAATACTAACAATGATCATATTGAATAGAGTAACTAGTAGTACTAGCAATAGTTGTTGTAGAAACAAAGAACGGCACTCTGCCACCACCCCGTAGCCTCAGTCTTTGCAAGAGCCCCAGCATCAGTCTTTGCAAGAAATCCAGAAAGCCCACCGCCAATCCTACACCTCGACAGCTTTGCCTTTGGCCATGTAAAGACACGACTTCTGAACCCCTCCTACAAGTTACACTTTTAGCCTCCTTTTTATAGTTCATATAGAAACCCAACATGTCAAAGTCCTAAGAGTCAACCAGAAGAACGGCAAGACAGCTTAGTGATGCATATCCAGCAAGGGAGATGCCAGTAGTAGCGGTCGCCATGGCCCTAAACCAATTTTTGGGCCAGGAGCTTGGGATGTGCCTTTACCCTTTTTGCATCTGGCTTGCAACGTCATGTCCAAACCCTCAACCCTAAATCCTAAACTCCTAAACCCTAAATTCCTAAACTCCTAAAAGCTCACTCAAAAGAAGCGGAAGCCACGAAGACTCAGATCTCCAGTAGCTGCCAGGGCAGACTCCCAACCTTACCTTTGGTTGGTAGGGAAAGGAGGAATGGGGTATAATTACAACTACTATTACTACCATTCTTCCATTCCCTACTAACCAAAGGTAAACCCTAAACCCTAAACCCTAAACCCTATAGATCCCTTTAAAGGAACCCTTTCGATCCCTTTTAAAGGAGCCCTATTCCCTACAATACTGCAACCAAAGGCAAGCAACATAACATCTCCAGACCCCCAGGCTCTCACTGTCGGCTCCTGAAACCGTGGTGCTGTGATTCATCCAACATTAAGGGTCCGAGTACTTTAGGGTTTAGGGGCTTAGGGACTTCGTGACCCTTTTGGGTACCAAAACCCATACATAGGGACCACTTATTATATCATCGTTACAGTTTCTAAGACTATTGTTGCTATTGTTACCCTTCCTTTTGTTCTACTTACGATTACGATTATGATAATGATTGTGATTACCCTTACTTTTGTTATACAGTTACAATTACGAGTATGATAATGATTGTGATTAAGCCTCAGCAAAGGAGCGACGAACCTGATGCAAAGAGCTCCCTTCATAGTTATAGCTCAAGAAATCCAAAATCCCTCTTCCCCAAACCCCTACTTAAAACCCGTTGTGCATCCAGGCCTCTTGAAGTCTTGCCGGGGAACGGCGAATGCTGTAGCCCTAAACCCCTAAACCCCTGAACCCTAAATCCTTTTGCACAGACTAAACCCAAAACCCTAAAACCCTCTTCTGACCAGTGGTTTTGGGGTTCCCTTGGCTCTTCAGCTCCCTATTTAAAAGCGATTATCATCATCCCTGGCTCCTTAGCTCCTCCAATATCAATGGTTAGTCTTCAAAATTACCAGATGTCGGGAAAGGCAAGGTCGCGTGGAGGCCTCCAGCGCGTGGAAGCGCCCAAGAATCCCTTCAGCGAAGGCACGAACTCTGCAAAAAGTGAGTCTCCACAAAAAAGTTATAGGGACAGGGATTCAGGGGTTGGCTTGAGTGTTAATTATGAATGAAGGTTCTGGTTTTACGACTTCAAGGGGGTAGCGTTGCTAGTGGTACCTACGGACTCGGCCGTTCAGATCGGGAGTCTGGCTTGGACACTTTTTCGAACAGGAGGTATTGCTTAGGAACGGCAAACGCGCGTCTCGACGCAGCAGGTGCATGAAACCGGTTTGGGATTCGCGGTCGGAGCATATATGGTAAAGCAGTTTTGGTCATGCCGTATACGTTCATCCCATGAGGCTATGCGATGAACCTGTGGATATATGCAACGGGGACTTCAACCTAACGGATTTGGGCTTAGGAAGATCTGATTCAATCCTAAGGCCCCTGAAGCCCGAGAGAGCCTTAAGACCAAACCGAAATGACGAAATGCCTCCAACCTCCCGCAACCACAACCTGCCACAACAACCTAGAAGAATTGTTATGGCTTGCAGGGTCTTGGGGTTAGGGTCCTGCCCCTATACCATAGAACTCTACTATACATCCCTTATAGCCCCAAATAGTACAGGCAATTGTTTCGGCCCCTGTAGTAAATGACAACGAAGCTTCAAACAGGGCCTTTCTATGTCGAACCTCCTGGGCTCCAGCTGTAGGGGCTTTCATGATTAGAATAGGGTTTGTGGGCTCCTTGCTACAACTATAGTATCATGCCATACCCCCAAGCCCTATTCTAACTTCCAAACCCTATTCTAACTATTAAGGCCCTATAGTAGTTCCGTTCGCGAGCGTCTGATCTGCTGACTGCGGGCTTCTGAGTGCGGAAGATGAGGTGGCTTAGCATCACACGCAAAGCAGCCAGGATTGAGGGTTATAGTCAATGCCCCGGAACAAGGCGTTGAGATAAAACGGTCTTGGGATATGTCCGATGAGAACCGCACGTTATGAAGCAACAGTGCTGGTCATGCAACCTAGACCCTCCCCCTCCATCTACCCTCTATTAGGCCCTAAGTGCCCCGTATTTGGGATTACATAGACATCTATGTGAGGGTACAAGGAGGGTCCTGGAAGTCCTCCATTCTAAACCCAAAACCCTAAACCCCAAGTCCTCCTTTAGGGTTTAGGGTTAAACCCTAAACCCTAAACCCCTACACCGTGGCTTCCATTCTAAACCCAAATCCCCTTTTTGCCAAACCCCTCAAACCCTGAACCCTGATCTCCGCCTTAAGACGGCATACCGCGCCCCCGATGCTCGGCACCTGCTGGTTCTTGGGGATTTTAGGGTTTAGGGGTTTAGGGCTTAGGGTTTAGGGCTTGGGGGTTTAGGGGCTTAGGGGTTTAGGGGTTTAGGGGCGTAGGGGTTTAGGAATTTAGGGGTTTAGGGGCTCAGGCTTAGGAGTTCATGGTTTAGGGCTGCTTGATTCACGGTTCGGGGTTGCTGGTTGAGGTTTGAGAAGGAGCCCGAAACTCTAAACCTGCCTGGGTCCTAACTCCGCAACCGAAAGTCCGCGATACCTATGCCGATAC